GGAAGATAAAATTAGGAGGCATTACTTTCTTACTTATCCAAATACGTTACTGTAATATACTACAGGAGGACATAGTCAAGTAGTGAAAACATTTGGCCATATTTTTATTTTATAATATATTTTTTTCATACAGGGTCTTACTCTGTTGCCCAGGCTGGAGTGCAGTGGTGTCATCACAGCTCACTGCAACCTCAAACTCTTGGACTCCGGTGATTCTCCTGCCTCAGACTCCCAAGAAGCTGAAACTACAGGTATGCCCCATCATGCCTGGCTAATTTTTCTGTTTTTTGTAGAGATGGGGTCTCACTATGTTGCTCAGGCTGGTCTTGAACTCCTTGCCTCAAGCAATCTTCCTGCCTTGGCCTCCCAAAGTGGTAGGATTACAGGCATGAGCCACCACATCCAGTCTATTTTATAACATTCTTAATTGATTTGGGGGAATTTGAATTTTTATAACATAGATGTTTGAGTTATCCAAAGGCTTCTGATATATAGGAGTTCTACATTAGTTTTTTCTATATAATTAAAACAATGATACTACAATTAACATATGAAGTAAAACCAAATTTTGACCCATAAGTCAAAAGAGGATTTCAGATAACACCTCAAGAGCCTGCATTAATATTTTTGTGGAGGTTTTCTTTTGTGTTAATTATATGGAATTCTCCTTAATTCCCCTGCAGGAAAATAAAACTGTGGTGCTCGGACAAGGTAATATTGTGAGAATGTGGATTTATCCAATGCAAATCTTGGTATAATTATACATAGCTCAGAAAAGAGAGCAAGATAAAAAGTAACAACAAAACCCTTTAGATCAGAATGGGATTTAACATAGCACAGTTTTAAGAGTTGAATATTTAAAAATGTGTGGATTCTAATAGTCCTAGAAATTAAATAATTGTAGATAGAATTGATCAGAAATCATGTATATGAATCATATAGTGTTGATATGAAACTATTGTACAGAAATCTGGACAGAGCTATTCGAGTTCTTTCTTCATCACAAAATAATGTGAATCTTTTTCTTTCCAAATGGCTAAAAGCTCCACCTTCCAACAACTATCAGCTGTTAACATGCTAACACCCTAAAATTTAAACCAACCTGACACAATGGAGCCAAATTCTCTACCACACCTGTGCTTAGCAAGTTGTACAGAGGGTGTGCATATGAGTGACTCTAGAAGAAATTGATCTGACTGAAAATCCCTAGTGAAACACAATTAAAAAAAACTGCAGATAAAAATTTGAACTATATTCTGTAGTTTTATTATGTGTACTATTAATACCATTGAGCAATTTTATTAAAACTAGTTTTTGTCACCAGTAAAGCAAATGAGTAAGTATGTATAATTTTTTAAGTATCAAAATTACTAAAGGAAGCATGGCTGTAGAATCA